AACAATACCCTAATGAATTGAAGACTATATATAAAGTTATATACAGTACTTTTGAACACATTCTGCTATGAATTATTTATATAAGCCAAAGCTGTATGTTGTAGCTTTTTTGTAGAGTATAGTTTTATCTTATTTTGACTTTCTAGTTTTTGCTTTCAAAGATGAAAAGGAAAAACTTGCAGGCGGAACCTTGGGGGAAAAATAAGCCATGAACACTTATATGTAAATTTAAATTTGAGCCAAACTCTTTGTGTATATAGCATCTTAAATATATTATCACCTTTGGTGTAAGTACCTATGTATTGTACGTTCACCAGATTAAAAAGTATATTTTTGTGGATTGACGCCGACTTGAGAAAGGCGAGGTCCTTATTAAGTAGAGTATTCACTGTTTAATATTTACTATTTTGTTAAATATACTGTACTTTCTTTGGATTTTAATTATTATTAATATTATTATCCAGATTTTTCAGAGGGTGTATAAAGGGGTTTGTCCCCCTCACTGGTGGTGAATGTGTGCCGTTCAATTGTAATCTCTGTGCTGTATGGTTAAGCTTCATTATACATTTTATATATATGTATATAAATAGCAAAGTGGCAAAAAAAAAAAATCCGGCGTTAAGTTCATCCTGCATAAATATACAAAAATCTGCTACAACACATCTTAAGGCATCGTTTCAAAACTGCCTCTTCTGAGGAGGAAAAAAAACAAAAACCAGTGGAAAAAGCTTGACCTAATTTCTCCTGATAGGGAAATAACACATATCAGATGAGCACAAAGGGTTTCTGAAGTGGTCAGTGGTTTGGGATAAAGGGGCTTCAGAAGGAAACAGGCAGAGCCTCTTTGCTGCTTCCCTGAGGCACAGCAGGGCCAAGGCTTGCTCTGCATGGAGCTGTGGGGAGGAAGGGCAGCAGCAGCTCCTGGGAAAGGCTGCACCTGAGCAGCAGCAAACTGCAGGAGCTGGGAGCAGCCACCTGCAGGGGAACCAGCACTGCTCCTGCCTTGGAGGCACCTCCTTCCCACCCCTGGCTCCATGCAGATCACCTTCCTGCATGTTCTTTTATGCCGGGAACCAAATTAAGTAGACCTTAATGAATTCTTAATGAATCACTGCTGGTAGTTCTGAGGAAAAAAAAAGAAAGACAACAGTGCTATTTTGTTACTGAAAGCCCTGTAAGTAATCCCTGCTGTTTATAACATAATTTTGCCAGATTTCAAAAAATTAATTGATATTTTAGCTAAGGAGTGTGAGAAGCAAAAATCCCGTGTGATGCAGTGGGGGCAGCTCCAGCGCCTTCATGGCTGCTGGCTTTGACGTGCGGCTGCAGAACCAGGCTGGTGCCTGCAGCTCTGCTGCTGTCACGGCCACTGCTGAGCCCCTGCAGCCTGGGTCACGGCTGAGCTGTGCTGTCCTGCAGTTCCCAGGTGCAGGAGCCTGCAGGAAAGGCAGACTTTTCTCACAGCAGCTCGTTTATTTCCCAAGTGACCGAATTCACTGACCACTGCAGAGCCTTTTGATGCTCGGAGAAGTTACGTGGTTTTTTCATTATTTATGCACATATATGAACTTTGCTGTACATCTGAGTGGGAGTTCTGCATTCACATTTACTGTCTATTTTCTTGTGTGCCTTACGAGATGGCTTTGCTGACTGTATCTCAATAGTCTTTATTTCTATGCAGGTTTGTAAACAGTGCTATTACTGTTTTCTTAAAGAAAAAGCTACATAAGGGTTAGAGTTTGTATTGAAATTGCACCTACGAATTAAAAAACCACCACCTAAGTTCCTAGGAACTGCTCATGGGACTGTTCTGGTGTTGCCCTGTGCCCCATCCCCTCCCACAGACTCAGCAGGAGACTTTGGCCACGTTCTCTCCTAGCGGGAGAACCTCACGCCACTGAATAAATGGGAAGCCTGGTTTTTAATAACAGGTAACTAACTTTGGAACATACTTTTTTAGGAATTGTAAAGATGTTTTATAATGAGAAAAAGACATAGCACAGATATTTCAACAGGTGAAAAATACTTTTTTTAACTAAGTAAATATATTGAAGTTTCAAGTGAATCCAATCCTAGTTTGAACCCATTGAAGCCTGAGTGACTTCAGATTTCTATCTGATCTTCTGTTGTGACAGATCACCTCTCCATCTCTGAGCTCTCACTGTAGTATTTAAATTCACATGTATTTGAAAATCCCCGTCAGGGATTTGTCAGAACAACGCTTCAGCCTTTCCTTTCACTCCAAGGACACTAAAGCATCCCAACCTTGCGAATTGCTGTGCGCACAAGAAATACATAGTAAATAAGGAACATAACAACTCCTAACAATCCATCACGGGAAGAAGTTAAATTAGAATGTGAAAGAAAGACTTCAATGTAAACGTTTAAATCTTAGTAGAAACTTTCTTCACTTTGCTGTGCAAGAGAACACTGCTTTGCTATATTTAAAATGGCTTTTTTAAAAGAGATTTATGTATTTGGTAAATGTTTGTAGTCAACAGTTCACAAAGAAGCTGTTCACGGTTTAATGATGATAAGCCGTTTGGCGGCACAAGCTGGACTTTGTTGCCATCCTTGAGACGAATCTTTTAAGAAAAAAATAAGTTAATCTCAATTTTTTCCCTGAATGTGTTGTTTTTTCTTCAATATACAATAAATATTCTAGTGAACTTTTTATCAAATGGTTAAGAAAAATGCTAGAGGTTGTTGTAAAATATTTGTATCCTGCATTCACTAAAGTAAAGATACTGGCTTTTACTGTGTACTCCAGCCTCTGTCGTATTTGCAGAGCACATCTGCCCACTCGTGCCCTCCTGCCCAGGACCCAACACCCTCATCAGGTTGGGTCCTGAAGTACCACTACAAGCTGTACCCACAGCTGACTTAACTCTAAGCTCTAAGGTTATAAAACACTTAGAGAACAGAACAACAGAAGGCAAGGTCGTACTTACGGCCTCCTGCCCCTCTCCGCTGGCGCTCCCTGCTGCAGCACTGCTGTGCTCTGTGTCCCACGGCCCCTCAGCAGCATCACCCCCCGCTCTGTTCTGTGTGCTGTGAGCAGCCCGAGTCACAGCGCTGCTGCCCGGCCTCTGCAAAACAAATGCTGTGGCACAAAACAAACGTGACAGCACCACATGTTGGGAATGCTTACATTTTGTAGCGCTCCGCACTGCTGCTGCAAAACACATCTTCCTAAACAAAGCTTGTCCGCCACACAGACAACAAACTGAAAAACACCCAACACGCAGTCTGGGGTGGGTAAGTGCCCCTTGTGCTTTTATTTCATTTCACTTGATTTAGAAATGTAGCGATTCCCCTCTTCCCAACCACAAGGGATACCTTTCCTTCACAGAAGAAAATACAAGCCTTCTTTTCCCCATTACAAGACACTCTAGATCCCTCATGCACAACTTAGGTTTGCCCAGGCTTTCCTAAGCCCTTTTTAAGGCTGCAGGAGCCCCACGGTGCAGGTGTAACACCACAGGTGTAACCACAGGGCTCTGCTTCGCGTAATGCTCTTTTCCCCCCACACCTTTTGTGCTGTGCAGAAGGTGCAACAAGGCTGCTCCCCTCACCCAGCTTCTTCACTTCTGATCAGTTTTAGGCAGCAAAAGAAAGGCTTTGAAAACAAACAAACAAACCAAAAAAACAACCAACAAACCCAAACCAACTTGCACGTGGTTCATGCACAGACATTAGGTTCAGCATCAGAGCCCAACAACGCAGCCAGGGTCCCTAAAAATGCTGCCCTTGCTGTGACTGACCCTCCACAGCTCCCAGGCAGCAGTGCCCTCTGCTGCAAGGCCTGCAGCAGGCAAGCAGCTCAGGTCTGACTCCGCAGCCTGCCACAAATGGACTCTGTGCTTTTTTTCTGCAGGCATCTTCTCGAGCTTGCTGGGAACACAGTAAATGGTGGGAAGGCTGCAGTGCGGGGCAAAGACAAACTGCCACGCTGTGTGCCTGCTCACCAGCTCTGCCTCCCCTGCAGGAGCTCAGCTCTGTGCAAACAGCCCCAAGGCTCCCCATGACACAACCAGCTGGCTGCTGCTGAGTTACAGCCTGGATCCCCTCATTTCATGCAACTGTGCCACAGCAGTACCTCAGCATTTAGCTCTAGGAGAGCTTACCTCTGTCTGCAGCCCCTGAATTTGTTGAATAAAAAGTTCTGAGGACAATTCTCTGCAGCAAAACTCTCTCCCAAAGCCTCACTGCTCCTCACTTCCAGCATGTAGTGTTCACTGACACAGCACACGTATCAGGCTTACAATACAGCTCAGCCACACAAACCTCCATTCACCCCCCCTATTTACTCAGAGTGGACAGGACTGTTCAGCATACAGCAGCTTCCCAGTCCCCATCTATAAAGCATCTGATTCACCTTTCTGTGACTACCTGACACAACGTTGGGCTTCTTTGTGGGTCTTTGTAGGTGAACTCAGCAGCACTCTCATTTGAATAGTACAAACAAGGAAACTCAAGTCCTCGACTGTGATGTGACATCTGAGATGCACCACTGTGGATTTAAACCAAAAGCAGGTAACAGCTAGACTTCCCCACACCAAATAAACCCTCAAGAAGAGCACAGCATCCCACAAGCCTTACTCTGTTCTCGCCATCTCCTGCCAATATTGTGGATGTCTGCTGCCAGCCCGCTGCAGCACTGACAAAACCCTGACAGAACAAGGGCTCTCAATGAGCTCTGCCTGCACGGACATTGGCAGGAAGCCTCTGAAGGACTTCCACCAGGACAAAAGCTTTGGCCTCACCCACCCCACTGCAGGATTCAAACCATCCACTGCTTAACCATCGCGCGCAAGATGTAGTGGTGAGGTGCTGCTGGTGTCCCTGTGCTGTGCCACACCCCAGCCAACCAATTAAAAGCCACTGCTTTTTGGGTTAGGCTGCCAAGGCTGCCACGCTCTGCAAGACAGAAAAATGACAGTTCATTGAAAAAGATGAGTCCTCACCTCTACTCCAAGCAAAACGTATTTTCTTAATAAAAAAAAAAACAAAAAACCAGCCCCCAGCTTTCCAATCACACCAATACTGCACTCTGTCACAGAAGTAAAGGGTTCAGCTTCTTAGACAAAACCACTCTTAAGAAATACCTGAAGCAATCAAGAAGAGCAAACTGCTTCAAAATACTTTCCCTCATCAGAGTTCACAAATGTTAAGCCAGTTGCCTGCTGGTCTTCACAAGCAACAGAGCATCCTTATTCTTCCATAAAATCGCATCTCCAGTTCAGTCAAGCTCCGAACTACATTGACTACTTTAAAAAAAAATAATATCTGTAGTGTTATCCCCCCGATTGCACTCGAGTCAGAGTCACTGTCTTATGGGCGCCCGTGCTGGGAGGTGAGGCTGTATTTGGCTGTGTCTCCCCCCTAGCATTTTTTTCTACAACTGAGCTTTGTAGTAATTTCCCTTCCAATCCATCTGTCGAAATATTTGAGGTTGCTGTTGTGTTGGAGGTGTGGGGCGCAGGGCCATTCTCTTGCGTTTTAAAATAGATGATATAAAATACCGGCAAGACAATTCCTACCAAGAGCATAATAAAAACTGCATTCCACCACTGGATTCCACAGTCCGCACCATTACTGCTCTCCCGCTTCCCCGGCTCGGCCAGCAGCCTCTCCGGTGGCTCCACGCAGAGCTCAGCACTCAGCTGCGCCTCCGCCTGCACGGCGTCCTGGATGCTCTTGTCGATGCCTTTGAAATAATCCACGAGCTGCCCGCTATCAGCACAGCCGCTGCCGCCAGCGCCAGGCTCCGGCACGTCCACCAGCACCGCGCCGCTCTGGGAGCGCGCAGCCGGGAGCGGCCTCAGCTCCTTGCTGCTCTCCGTCAGCAGCCCGTGGGTCTTCACAGGGATCTTGATGGACTTCAAAGCGTACAGGTCCTGCTCCCTGATAAAGTTGTTGACGCGTTTGATGTCTGCAACCTGCAAGATCCAAAAAGGACATCGCGTATGAGTTCAAAACGACCCAACCTTTCACTAGCGTTGAAGCACGAAGTGGCTACAAAACCAGCCTGAAAATAAAAACAAGCTCTGTTTGCAAGCAGTTCACTGTTCTTCAGAGATTTCCAGTGGTTGCAGACATGCTCCAGGTCCCGCAGCTTTAAGATGCTCCTGTTACATCCATTGCATGGACCCCCACCACACGGGCCCCCACAGTGCTTTCGCACCTCTTATGTAAGTTGTGCCTTTCTTATCAAGTTTTTCCCCTCTCTTTGCTTTCGTTACCTTTCTCTCCCTTTTTAAATCCAAGTTATAGCAAGAGGAGTCTTTAGAGCAAACCTTGTAAAAGCAGTTACACCTTAAACAGCAGACAAGGGCTGATGGTGATGGGAAAATTGCAGTGCGAGCAAGAGGTAAGCAGTAACAGCATCTCTGGAGCACACAGCAGCTCTGCAAGCAAGACTGCAGGCTGGGAGAGAGCAGCAGGCACCTCTCACACTGCTGAGCTTCTCCCCTGCATAACTGCTCCATGCAGCTCACTTCTCCACAGCTGGTACAAGGCCCTGGTGATAAACATTTAAAGCAATAATGTCCACCTGTGAGCAGCTCTGGATGTTGGTGTGTGCTAACAGACCATCAGCCAGGGGTCAACACCTGTGCTTGGTGTTTGCACCCAGCTCAGTCACGCAAACAGCAATGAGAACAGCAAGAAAGTACACACCATACATACAGCATAAGTCAACAAGGGCTGCTGGTATCAAAAAGCAAAGTCAGCAGGAAGGCAGTATTTCCTTATTTAACGTTAAGTAAAGAGAAGGCAGCTTAATACAGTGTGCACAGATAACCCCCTACAACCTGTCAGATAACAACCAGGCCCCACTGCAAGCAGCAAACCAAGGCAGCCAAGCAGATATGAAAGAATCTTGAAGGAAAGGCTGAAGGAGGCAAAGCAGAGGGAAGAGCAGGACCTGACTCAGAGACCCAACACCTCCGACACACCACACACAGAAAGTCTGATTTGCTCTTGTAGAAGTTTATCAAATTACTGCACGATGGTCATTCACTGCACACTCACAAATGTCAGGCTACCAATGAAACCAGTAAAACCATGAGGAGGATTAAAACCAAGAAAGTGCTTTTCTTCCTGCAGTGAGTGTCATCAGCTCCAACATCACTTGACAGCTCACAGCAAAGATCTGCCCTTATAAAAGACAACACATAGGTAAGCAGAAGGCAGCCCTACGGCAGTTCCCAAAGAGCTGCTGCAGGAACACGACCCTCTCCTTGGTGGCTGCAGAATGGCTGCCTGCAGGCAACCCCAGGGACCACCTCAGCCAGGGGGGAAGGGCTCCCTGCCCTGCAGGGCTCTGCCTGCACAGCTGCACAGTTCTGCTCCCTTCAGCCCATGTTGTTAGGGAAAGCTGGTTCAACAGGCAGGTCTGCTATGTCACAGCTGAGCTGCAGGACTGCACTGAAAAGGAGAGGGGAGATGGATGCCCGAACGTCCTGTTTACTCTGCACAGCCTGACATGTCTGAAAATGGGGTGTTTAATGCAGATCCTAATCTGCTGCCCCTGCAGCTAAGGGAATCCTCAGCTGCTGGATCAGACTCCTCACAGCTTGCCTCAGCAAAACATCAGGAATTAAACTCTCCAAAATTACTTTGTTATGAAATAACAATCTGACACTAAGCCTCCTAACTGAAGCTGTGCCTCAATTTTCTGTTTTCTTCCAATGAAAACAGCTTACTGGGACAGTAAACATCCCCTGCAGTGTCTGCAATCAAACTGCAACGCTGCGCTAAAGCTCTAGAAACAGAAAGTAGAGCAGCGCTCACACAAAAACAACAAAGCTGGTGGGAAAAATGTACAGCACTGGGCTGAGCAAGCCATTCAGGCTTATTATTTGTACTCATTTTTGGCTGCAGTGAGCTCCTCCTGTCCCAGCTGAAAACTATGCAAAAGCAGGCCCAGACTATACGTGGTCAAGAGTAAAAATGAGAAGTTTGTCGCGCTCTGCATCTCTGCCAAGTTACCTGTTGCACAAACAAAACTTTCTTGCACTGTCTCAATTCTCCCACCCCAAGCAGGCCCTGATGACTCTCAAACCAGTAACAAATTCTCTGGAATTTCAAGGAAATTTCAAGGAAAGCCCATCCTGGAATTTTTACACTGCCCACATTTTTTGCAGCTAAAAATCTTTGCTGACATCCCAGTAGTTTTTCAGGAGCTGCTTAACCGTGCAAATCCTACAAACTACGTTGATACTGACCAGCGTCAGCCTGTAAATAAATACACAGATCCCCAGTCACAAGGATTTCCATCTCTCTTCAATGTAATGGGAACAAATCAGAAGTGTGCTTTCTGAAGGGAGGGAGGCAGGGCGTTCTGCTGCGGGAGGAGTGTGCGGACTGCCTGAGTGCTCCTCGCTGTCACCACAGGAGAGAACCAACTATTGCTGGTAATCTTCCTTTAAGTTCAGTGAACTGCTACGATGTGGCACGAGTGGCAACAGTTGTGACTGTTATCTGCTGAAGAAGAGTACAGGGCTGCTACATCATCAGGGGCGGCTCCACTGCTCGCAATCAAAGCCTCTTTAAGCCCTACCAGCCTTCACAAGCACCAGCTTCAGCAGAACCTACAAGGGCCTTTGTTTTGTTTTTGTTTCTAAGGGATTGGGAGGGGAGGAATTGTCTCAGCTTCTCTAAGCCCTCTTGCTTCAGCTGTACCTTACAGCTGTGCTATTAAGCAAGACGGTGCAATAATATTGCAACAGTTCAGCAGTACCATGTCATTATCACCAACCAGGCCACCGTCCAAATGCTTGCATTATGCAACTTCTTAATCATGGCCTAGCTTGTAGATAAAGGAGCTTGTAGGTAAAGGAGACTCGAAAAATAAAGCTGTAACTGCTAAGCAATGGGGTATTCTTAATCTTCACATCAGGTCATTCAAACTGTCATCATTTTTCCCCCACATCAAACTCAGAATGTGTGTTTTTCAGTGTGTTCAAACTCCAGAGACAGTCTTTGTGTGCTGTTCTCTGCCTGCAACTGGCTGAGCCACATGCACCTCTGTGTACTGCAGGAGCCATCAAAGACCCCGCACAGCAGCTCTGTGACCCACAGTGGCACCTCTCCTATTGTAGGTCCATCTCAGACCCAGCATTTCCCAGCAATATGGAAGCTCATCCTTTTCAAAAAAAAGAAACAAAAAGGGAAATCTAGCCCAGGCCTCACCAAAGCAGCATTTCTTAACGCTGTTCAACTCATTTCAAACCTGTAACCCTGGAGAGGGCAGTGCTCTCTCCCTCACTTCTGTGCTCAGCTTCAACTTTATGCCCTCGAATAAATAAATACAAATCATGACTTTGCTGATGTCATCCAAACTAACCAGTAAGCCAGGCCACATGGGATGACATCTTCCATGGCTGTTAGCTCAACAGCTCTTTTTTTTAACCTTTCTCCAGCTCACTTTCTCCCAGCTGTTGACCATTCATGAAATACACAGGGCAAACACTGTCAGACAGCAAGGAGCCTACACACAATTCTGGGAAGTACTCTGCATGCACAACACATTTCTAAAAGTAAAGAAAACAAAAGCAAACAGAGATAGCTCTTACTTTGCAACCATACTGCAGGGCAAGCTTGTTCAGACTGTCGTCCTCAGTGATGTCTCTCTCCAGAAGCACCACATCCCCAGCTCTGCCCCGTGCATTGCTGCACTGCCGCTCCCTGCCCCTGGGCCGCAGCTCCATGACGTTGAGCTCCTCGTCTGACGACTCCTCTGAGTCAGAGCAGCCATTTGGGAACACGTACACTTGCCCTCCCGGGTAGCTGTGGATGGAAACAGGAGCCTGGAAGGGCCTCGTCCGGCTCTCGTTCAGCCTCATCTTCTATAGCAGCACCTGGAACAAAACAGACGTCACAATTTTTCATGATGCCATCTCTTTTTAAGGTCTGCCACGGGACAACGCTTCGCTCCACGTCACAAATTCTAACGTTTCCTAACAATAAATACGAGAAAGCCACCCCTTCACTTAAGGCAGGAATCTTTACTACGGCAACGATCCCTCAGAACAACGGGGCCCAGCCGCACACGCTAAGGACTGAGCGGCGCTACCTGAGGAGCCCTCAGTTCCCCGCAGAACCGCTCGGCGTTACGGAGAGGCGCAACCCGCGCGCATTCCGAGCCCCGGCCACGCGTACCTGCGACCCGCGGAACGCCGACAAGAAACGGCCCGACCGCTTCGCCCCAAGAGGCCGCAGCCGCCTGCCGCCCCGCCGTCAGCGCTCAGCCCTGCGCTGTGGCCGCGCTCGCGGTCGGAGCGGCGCTGCCCGCATCCTCGCGCGGCTCCGCGCGGCCCCTCGGTCTGCCCGGTGCGGCCTGCCGCCTCCTCCAGGGGAACGGGCCTGGCCGGGGCGGGCGGAGCGGTTCGGAGGGGCCGCGGTTCGGAGGGGCCTCGGCCCGACCGGGGCCCCGCCGTCACGGCCCGCCGCTCTCGGTGCCTGACCCGCGGCCCCGATCCCGACGGCCCACGCCGCCGCCCCGTCTCCCGGCCCCGCGCTCCCCGCCGGCCGTCGGCCGCGCGCACCAACCTAACTCCGTCTCTCCCCGACTCCGTCTTCCATTCGCTGGCAGCGCGGAAAGGCGGGACCTCAAAGCCACTTGACCAATGGGAAGCTGGGAAGGGCAGCGCACAGAGGTTGGTTGAGAGGTCGGCGCTGGAAAGCGTCGGGTGAGGCGCCTCTTAAAGGGCCCGCGCCGCGGGAGCGCCGTGGTTGCGCCGCGCGGGTTGGGCGCGCGGAGCCGGCAGCTCCCACGTGGCGCCTGCACACCGACATGAGCTCCTTCCCAGGAAAAGCCAGACTTAATCACATCCCGATAAAGAAAAAAAAAACTTCAACGAAGATCTCGGTTCAGGCTTTCCAAAAAGAGCACGAACGGGAACAAGGCTCCCTCCTCCCCTCTCCTGCGATTGCTTTAAGATCTTGCCCAAATCCAGAACTGCTGTTCTCTTCACCCCTTCTGCTTTGTCCCCATCTATGCAGGCTGACTTCAGGAGCATTCTCATTTCGCTCACATTCCTTGTATCTTGTTTCCCTTTAAGCAGCCTACTAAAAACTTATTTAATCGCAATAAAATCTATTATTAGCATTTCAGACCGCTCAGCGACAGTTCGCTACCTTCAGCTGGGAAGCCGGGGGCTGAGCACACAACTTGAAAGCAGCTCTGAACGCTGCATTGAAGCAGCCATCCGAGGGCCGTTTCACACATCCCAGCACATTGGCTCGCCAGCACTGGCTGCTGGGCTGCAGCTGTTCAGGTTGGCACCCGGTGGTTTCCAACTGCCCTGCATTCACAATGGTGAAAGCTGCAATTCATAAATCACCATAACTGTGAGCCATGATTTGGGATTAATAAAAGCGAGTCAGAGGGAAATCATTCACCCATTTCCTCTGCCGTATGGGTTATTAACAAGAAAAATGTAGAATGAAGAGTAATCAATAAAAGAGGAGGTGGGAACCCTCGCAAATACTGAACTATAGCCCTGATACAGTGCAAGTTAAAGAAATACTTCTTTAGCATCTGCTTCTTAATTTCAACCAGTTACTTCCGTTCAGTCGAGCATAAAATGGGAAAGACTCCAGAAGAGCACTGTGAGGCAACAGAAATCTACTGATACTTCTGGTATCACTGAATTGCATTTCAATAAAGTTACCCTCCATTTTAAATGTAGAAGTATGAGCCAAATAGAACAAAATAATACTCTCCCATGTCTGGAGTGACTGAGCTTATGTGAGTACTGTGTACACATTTGATTGAATTACATACAGCAACATGTTTAAGAGATAGATACACCATGCACACCACTTAGAAAAGAAAACTTCAGTTAAGTAAATATCAGGCATATATTTAATACAGTTAACTGAGCTATGGAGGTTACTCGAAGTGCATGTTTGGTAGCACTGGGCTCCACCTCACCTCTTAGAATGATCTCTCCAGTTTGCAGGGCATGTCCAGCTCAGCAGGTTCTGAACTCAGCCACAGGCAGTTCCACACACGAGCACTCCTGCCACCGACAGCCCGCGAGGGGTCTTGTGTCGAAAACAAGGAACAAAGTGATGGTTTAGGGATCACATCTGGAAAGAAACACAAAACCTGTGTTCACGCTGTTGTGTAGTAGCAGCCACAAGACCTGGCTTACAAAAAGCTTCACACCTTGTCCGTAGGGGAATTCCCAACTGAGGGGCAACCAGACCCAGACAAGACCAACATCTTCCTTACATAAGGGAACACCCACTTGCAAGGTGACACCCAGCCCTGCAGCATGGGGCACACACAGTGGACACAGTGGCTTGTCGTGCTGGCCAGAGAGAAGCTTGCTATTGCCTGCAAGGAGAAGCAGATTTTGTCAACCCTCTGAGTAGCATGTGAAGCTGTGGGCACACCGTACCTCTGACTTCTTCCAGGCAAGAAGCACAGCTCTCATGTCCATCCTTGCAAGTTTTTTTTCCTCCTTGTAACACAGCAGGCATTACAATAAGCATTCATCACTCATCTCCAGCTCATCAGATTAGTCCCACCTATGACAACTAAGTTTGCGACTATGCTGTGACTCAGGATTGAGACTTTCATCTTGGGAACCACAACGCAGATCTACAGCACTGTCGTCTCCTGGAGGAGATAATGTGTCCTTGTTCAGAGACCTAGTTCTGTGCTTGGCTTCCAGCAAGCAGCACCATTTGGCTCTGGCTGCCTGGTCTATGTGATAGCAGAGACTGAATTACTTCAGAAAAAACAGATACTTACTCTTTATATAAAAACAAATGACAAATTAAAAGTGGTTTTAATTTTGAAGTTTGTATTTTCTTGAGATTATGCCAAATCCTGGAACCCATACTCCACACCCTGTCCTTCTAGAGGAATTTGGCTAGGGAACACACCGTAAGATTTGTTCCCTTTCCTCTCCTTTATTCTTAAAGTCCTGAGTACTAGTAAAATCCTGCTCCTCCACCCCCCTTCCTGCAACTGGTAAATTGTGAAGAACAGGAATGTTCCTGGGAAGAAACCCAGGCTGAATCGCATTCAGAACAAGTCAGAGATTTCTTGCATAGCTGAAGCATGTGTTTGCAATCCCCAACTGCTGGAGCATGCAAGCCCTGCCAGCATATATTGTTCCTTCATATATTCTCAGAGAGCTCTTAGAGTCTAGGGCACTCTGTGGACAACATTCCACTGAGGCACAACTTCTTGGCCCATCTGCTAATGGTGCCAGGGACAAAAAGGCTCTTGTGTAGGTATGGCAAATAGGCAGCATCACTTTTCCATGAAACTACGTTAGTGATGGTCGGAGCCATTGGTCTGCACGATGTCCTGTGCTATAGACTGGCTCCATTTGAGCTGGCTTACCTACAAGGCAAGGTTTCAGGCAGCTTCTAGGACTGGTTAACTCTGGTAATAAGCATGTGCAGCCCCAGCAAAGTACTGCCCAGCAAGGAGGGACAAAACTGTGAGAACTGTAATAAACGTCCAGAAGTTATCTGGTAACTGCTGGGAAGCAGCAGACAGCCAGTAGCTACACACAGCCTGCTCTCCCTTCTCCTGAGAGCTGCCACTAGCCCAGAGAGAATTTAAATTAAATCTAAATGGAATGGTTCAAAACAGGAACATGACGTGGCCAAGAAAGGTGGGAAGCTGGGGACTGAGACACTGGTTGGAAGAACACTGCTTCAGTGCATATGGGAGGAAGCTTTTGTCCTTGGCATCATGCAGTGTGCAGTACACTACAGGAGCACAAAGTGAGTCTTCACTCAAGCTGGTGCTGGTACTGGGGAAAGGCAGGTTGATGAAAGCATCACTTGCCTTTCCAATCACCTTATCATGTGAGCAGAGCTTGCCAAGAGCTGTGTCTCATTCTGCACTCCTCACAGCCTGAGCCAACAAGCCTGAACACCCTGTGCTGATATCTGATATTGCTCAGCATTGCATGGCAGTCTCGAGCACTGCAGATGCATCCTTTCAGAATGGACGACGACTTCTGTGTGCTTTTCTGCACATGGCATGCTCCTTGCTTTCTCCAGCTCATCTAACTTCCAAAAATGTCCAATCCAACTCTGTAATTTCTTAAATGTGAAGAACAGAGAAAACACAAAGGTCTTCCAGTTCAAGATCTTTGACCTCAGTCCCTGAAAAGGCTGTGCTGTGCTTAGCTTGGCTACTTTCATTCTCCCAGGTAGGGTTCCCACGTCTGGCGCATGGCAACAGTAATGAGCAAGTAACACATGGGGGCAGCAGCACGCTTTGCTTTCTTGTCAAACATGCAGGAACTCGTGGTTGTGGCATCCTTACAAGGTCTCATGGAACTGAGGTGTCCCGGGATTTGAGGGTCACTGTATTGGACACAAGACCAGAGTGACAGTCACGGCTGATCACACTGTGGGAAATCCTTGAAGAGAGGATCTTTGCGGCCTCACAGCCCAGAAACCTGTGCCTCTGTCACTGCATCTGGCCTTCCTCCTGTCCCTGCAGTTCCAGTGCAAGCGCTCTGTGCTCATGTTACAAAGAGCATTCAACTGGCAGACAGTGGCACCATTGTCTGCAATGGCAAATATGGAGGAAGTGAAAATCTCAGGGCTCAGTGGCTCAGTTCAGACCCTGCTGCCCACCACTGCAGCAGCCTGCTGAGCTTGTTGCACTGCAGGCAGGATGGAGTCCAGCATATGCCACTCAGTGGGGTGAAATGAAAAGGATGCTCTCATTTGACTGCATCAGAAGAAAGATGCAGGGTTCACATGACATCATTTATTATCTTAGAGATTCTGAGTGTTCAGGTAATGGGGAAAAGCCTTAATCTTGGCAGTGAATGTGGTACAGGCTACGTTTTCAGAGTAGGAGCATTTAGGTCAGGGAAGTGGTCCTAATTTACACTGCAAGGCTCTGTGATTGATTGCCTGACACTAATATTTCCACAGCAGGATGTCCTTGCTGCTGGAGGTGAGCAGAACTTCAGGAGTTGCTTGTGCACCTGATATTTACCTGGTCTCTCACATCAGCACTGCACACTGTGTGAGTACACATGGTGTCTGAGTGGTTACCCAAGCTGATGCTCAAAATGGCAAGAAATAAAAAACAGCAAAAGGAATCCCAGAGAAATGATGATGGGTTGATTATAATGAGGAATAGGAAACAAACCAGCTCTATGCCTCATGAGTAATTAGAAAATAATCATCAGACAAATGGCCAAATAGGAAAAGCATTTTCTGTAACTAAGGCTACTACTTTAATTGGAAAGTGCTGTTAACACAACTGCATGATGGAGGCGAGAGCAATAGCACAACAGGGCTGTTGCAGATCTGCAAGTAAACAGCTGAAATGCATCTCTCAACTTCAATCTGTGACTTTCTGAAGCCAAAAGAACAACTTTAAATTTGAAACTGCTGTTGGAGCTCATGCTTCAGCTGGGCTTTGTGCCAGGACATGCAAAGACTTAGGGCATTAAGAGTCTCATGTAGAAGAAAAGACAGTGAGGAGTCATTTGAGCTGGCTAGTAATGCACTGAGATGTAGCAAGATCTGCCTTCATTCCCTTTAAGCTAACTTGTGGGGAAGGAAATTGGAAAAAATGAGATTGTATCACTTATAACTCTTACAGCAAATCTAGGGCTGAGCACAGCCTTGGCCAATACAACTGTGTCCTGCATACAGAGCAACAGAAGGGTCACTGCCCCAAGCTGCCTCTGCCCTTTCAATAGCTGGGCAGTGAGGTGGCCCCTGAAGGTGCCCAAAGTGCTAATCAAGCATCATTAAAGGTATCCAAGGAACTGTTCTGACAGCTGTTGTCTTCTATTCACTTTGAACCATAATGCCAGGGAACTTTTGTTCTTCCAGAGAGTTCAAAGTATTCATAAATCCACAGCCATGCAACGCTTTAATGGTACCTCTGCTATTCCCTGAGTTGCAGGGAATTAACTGATTCACCCATGGCTGATGCACACAGCACAGCCTGATCCCAGCACTGGGAAACTGGGGCGAGCAAGCATTAAGCAATAAAAGATGTGTCTGACTGTCAGTAAAGATCTAGTAATGCTGCATTTACAGTGAACAGTAGCTCACACATGAGCACTACCAGCATGACCACCAAGTACCAAACAAAGCACAACCAGCCAAATCTCCTACAGAAAAGGAGAAAGAGCTGACCAATGCCTTTTTCTACAGGCTGTGTCCCTCCTGGTTAATGCTGCAGTTCCCTGGATCTTTGCATAGGCAGGGTTTCAACAGACAGCCTGAGAATGATTACCAGGAGTCTATGTGATCCTTCCCTGGGACTCTTCACTGCCAGAAGCTGCTTTACAATATTCCCAACCATTTCCCTAACTATCTGACATGTTGGACAAAATTAAAGAAACATGGGCCTTGGCCTTCGAGATGACTGGGAAAGAGCTAATCAAGCTCTCAGCTGAGCCAATTCAAGGAAGAACATCGTCAGCAATACGTTTTCTCTAATTGGAGCCAAGGAATGGGTACGTTCTCATGGGAAAATCTTCCCCTTTCCTCTAGGCCACATGGACCATGAAGAGAGGGGCCCCAGTGGGCAGCACAGGACGTCTACCATAGTGCTGGGGACTTACTTAGATGATAAAGGAAAAGAAATGCCACAAAAACGTTCCCTTTTTTTTTTAGACAAGTGCTAGGAAAGCCTCTACAGCTGCAGGAGCTCTTGCACTTCATATGCTCATGCAAATGGTGGGTAAGCAGTCTAGGGAGGGTAGCAGTCTAGGCTGCGTTTACAGCTGCTCGTGGGCCCACAGCTGGGGCTCACCATGTAGACACCAACCTTGTAAGGAACACTTTGTACGTCCAGGATCCAGAATCAGAAAGGGAGTTTCACCACGGTCTCCTCCACAAAGGTCAGAGAGAAGCTGGTTCCTGGGTTGTGCTCATGAGGAGATCACCAACATGGTACACGGGAGAGTGGGTGCATGCTGGCAATGACCCCTGGCCTTTAAAACTACCAGGATCCCATGCCCTTCTCACTTTCAATTTTGTCCCTCTTTGTGCTGAATTCAGAACACACACAAGTGAAAAAAAAACAAAAGTGAAAAAAAAAAAAAGGAGGGTGGAGAGGAACTACTATGAGAATTAAAGCGATAGCAGCAAGATGAACACCACACAAAGCCACCCCTCTTGCCTCACTCCTTAAAATTGAAAACACCTCTCTATTCTTCCCCATTTATTACTATAGGAAAGTGCATTTTTGAGTCTTAAGGACTTCTGTGTCTAAAGAGGTGGCACTGGGGCGTGCTGCTATACCAGTGCTGAACTTTGGGGTATCTCTGCTTCAAGTTACTGAGGGAAAATCACAGTAAAAGAGCTAGCTATGGATCTCAGCATGATCAACATCGGACTTTAAGAACCTGCACTTACAAACTCCTTGCCTGGTAGGGAAAGAAATCTATCAAAACACTTTCAACTTACCAGAAAGCTCACACCAGCTGCTCTTTGTGGAAATGTCAAGGGAACAAGACCTCATCCCAGATGGCCAGAGAACACAAGGTGCTGCTGAACAGGAGGGGAAGATGCTGTACAACATGTGGCACCTGAAGAAGTGAGAAAAGCCAGGGCAGCTTCTTGGTCCAGGAGATAAATCTTCATGCCTTTTTATAGATATGATGCATTTACAGATATTTCCAGAAAGGGGCAGTAGAGACCAAACCCACGGGACGAATAGGAAAAGACATCCTCTTCAGGGAGAAATAAAGAGTGAGAATTGCTTGCAGTGGCTTTTCCTTGGCATAGAGAGGCTCCACCATGCCATGTCCATTCAAATAAAACCAGCAGGACTTACACAGGCCAAAATGGGGCTGCTTGGTGTAACAATTGCAGTTTGCTCTGAGATGACTTCCTTTACCTGCTCTTCAGGAGAGCAGTAACCCTGCCTATGTTTCAAATACAGATACTGCATGGGCTGCATGAGCTGGCACAAGGCTTTTCAGTGCATCAGAGGAGCACTGTATTACGTACTACATAACACAGCCAACCCTACAGCACCAAGGTTTTCTGTCAAGCTCACAGATACTTATGCCACTGCTCATCACTAACACAATTTCACTTCCATCTGACCTTGAAAGAGTGGAGACATGACAAAAAGAGGTGCTTTTAAAATCAAGACTCTCAGCAACTCATGTTGTTAAAGTCTGAAACAGGAAGGCCTGTCTCTGCACCTTTTTTACAATCTCTTCAGATTCTCCTGTACCACAGAGCAAAATTCTAAAGCTGATTCAAGTTCTTTACCTGGAGAAAACCCCACATGTTTTACTTAATTCAAACCACCTATTTTCAGCTCTTCATTGCTGCATTATGCCATCCTCTTGCATCATACATCATCCACGGAGGAGGGAATGTTTTTTGGCAGTGGAATGCCCAGAAGCCTCAGCTGTGGGACAATACAAGCAGGCACATACCATGCAGCCAGTCTCTTCCTTAAAGAGCTTCTAGCCTAAGAATAAGATTTCAAAACAGGGAGAAGAGCAGGGAGCAACATCAGGTGAGAGACAGCTATCTGCAGCAGAGGAGGTGAGGCAGTAACAGCTTCATCGGGAAACCAAGAACCTTTTCTGATCCTGCACACAGCATAGCACAACACACCAGCAATCTGGCTGCAGACCGAAATCTTGGCTTCCCCTGAAGCCAATGGCAAACATCCCACTGGCTTCAGTGGGAGGAGGACTTCGTGCCAGATCTCGTGCTTCCCATTCCTTTGCTGTAGCCATGAGAGCAAGCTTCACTTCCAAGGCAGTGTCTGCAGCTAGGGCCTTCTGGGACAGGAGAGTGGTTCTCCTTGCCACCTGACAAGTATCAATGGGAAATAAAAGACTTCTTTTTAACAGAAAACTTTACTGCCCTGGGTAACAAGCTGCTTAGTGATATGAGACTCTCCAGCCTGAATTTTTTTTTTAGGTTTCAATGTCTATCTACAAGGTGCACAAGAGCTCAATCATACAGCTTTTGGCCCTGGTGGGGACACTAGTGGGAGAGGTGGCACGAACAGGGTTACGCAGCTGGAAACCCTCATCTCTCCTGTCTTAATATCTCTCAACCCATACCATCACATGGCGGTACAAATGCATAGTGTGACTTACAGCAACATGGCAGACAGGAAAATTAAGATGGCCCCTTTTACAGAAAGCGTATCCCAGCTGCTTTTAGCACAGCAGAGTCAATGGCTATTTGAGGAGTTGAAGAAAAGGATGCTGGCAGAACTGTATGCTGACTGCACAGGGCTCTCTGTGTTTGCTCTGGCATGAAAGGTTACTTAGATCACTGTGCAGGCTGGAGATGGAAGGTTCTGGTTCCTATCAACCTGGCAGACTTGGTATAGCACAAAGGGGACGTATGTTCGGCTGTTGAAATGAGCATCTTGAGATCTCCTAGCTATTTTTGAGGTGGCAAGGTCAGGACTCGCATTCCTTACAAACCTTTGCTTTCCTTGGCAATAATCAAGGGTGCTGTTAGGGAAATCCTGGTGGGTGTTTTGTGATCAGTCAAGCACAGCAGATTACATTACTGGATGGTGTATACAGGACCTCCCATCTTCTAGATATAGTAAAACAAGTCTGTTTTCTCCAGAAATTCTGGAGTCACCAGCATGGTGCTGGCCACCTGTATTATTTCTTGGGTCACACAGAATGTCTACCGGTCAGACTGATGTCTATACAGCTGACTGCATATCAATTCTAAAGGCAAAGGAAATTCTTAAAATCCCACAGCACAAATGTGCACTGCTACAGAAAAGCAGGTGGAGATGTGCCAAGATACAGCTCCTCAGTTGCTACCCCTTTAACAAATGCCCTGCGAGGAAAACTGGGAAGTATTTCATGAAAGAGCAAAGATAACATAAGACTATCCGGCAAAGGCTGGAATTTAATATTAATGGCTTTCCTCTACTCACTGTATTTCCTGTTCCTAACTTAACCCACTAAAATCACCAATGGTCAAAGAATGGCTATAAACTTTTTCACATCTAAAAACCCCTTCATTGGAAGATCTCAGAGAACTTGGCAAGTATTAAGGACTGCTACAGAATGGCTGTCCTCAGAGGATACTGTCCAGGTAGTCAGCGTGCAGAAGCCTTTTTGGCTCCCAAAGCCAAATACTGAAATTTAGGTTCTGCCCATCTCTGCAGGAATATCTTCCTGAGAGGAGCTGAGCTTCCCTTTCAATTCATGCTCCACATTCAGTGTGAGAAATACCTTCCCAAGAGACAGATGGGTAACAGATACACAGCAGTGATGTGACTGGTGTCATTTCAGCCTACCAGCCAATTTAGAATCTTGCTCACAGAGCTTCTCAGGGGTTACAATGGAGACTGCTCCTGCCTGTGCATGGCTCAGCTGCTGGTATTTCTAAACAGCTCTGTTCAACAATAGCACAGGGAAGTTTGTTTTGATAGTGAGCTGGACTAGGCCCCATCTCCCCACCTCTCCCTGCCAGCTGGTACTTGCCTGCAGGAGTCCAAGTATTAGTTAACATGGGTAAGAAGTGCAGAATTTTTCTCTTCCAAGTCTTGTGGCCTCTCGGTGATCCTACTGTGCCACCCACACCTCCCTTCAACTGGGCAAAATACCTGAATTATGAAGTTGACTTGCCAAGAGAAATTTAGACCAGAAACATCTCTGGAAAGATGGGTCTCACCAAGGGCTGCAGCCTGCAAAAGAGCACAGCGCTGGCTGGGGCACGTGGCTGGGGAGAGAAGCATTAGTCACTGCCTGCCTCATGTTCGGCCCCCTCGGACAGTCTCCTCTCTTGGAAGATGCACTGTTTTGCCTGTATGACTGTTGGCAGAAACTAGTGAGCAGAGCTGGTTGAAAATTTTCCATCAAAACAATATTTTTGAATTGCCAGAAGATACTTTAAAAATTAAGTGGAAAAATCAGAGGAAAGGGCCTGGGTTTTGGCTGACATTAGTGGTTAGAAAATTCTCAAACTTGAGATTTTTTTTAGCCAAAAATGGAAGCATTTGGGGTGAGGTGGGGAAGGAGAGAGGAGCAGCCTGGCAAGACTTAGCGGTACCCTGAAAAACATATAAGACATTTTTTACAAATATGTTTTTGTCAGGATTTTTTGTTGGATTTGTTTTGCTTTGTTTTGGTTTTGTTTTTTGCACAGTGAATGATAGTTCTGTTTTAGACCCATTCTACAGGGATACTGGAAAACAAACTAATGTGCTTTTCCTTTCTTATGCTATACTCACATGCCCTTACGGTATATGCATAGGCAGCACTTTGTCTAGACAGACACATAAGAAACACCAAATCTCATGGTCTCTTGGATCTGCCCAAGAGCCTACCTCCCAAAAACTGAAGCTCTGACAGTAAGGGACATATGCACACAGCTGATTCTGCTCTGAGTTTGTACAGCTGATACAAAGGCTTGATAAACAATGCCATTGCCTTGCATACAAATAATCTAAGCCATGAGGACAGACAGGGAAAAGGCACTGCTTGCAAAGGTATGGCACACACAGCTATTGCAAAATTGTCCGTACTTAATAGGCAGCAACAGGCAATATATTGCTAATGGCACTGCAGAGACAATGGCACATAAATACCTGGAAGCTGCAGAAAGCTGTTTTCCATCTTGCTAACACAATCATGCATGTTTTTCTTCTTCCCTTTTAAATTACTTCTTCAGCAAAAATGACTGAGAAAAGGAAACAACTTCTTCACTCCTGGGAAATGCAGCTGATGGCAGTACTTCTCTGGCTGTGTCAGCGTCTCGTCCTCAAGATGTTCTAAGCATGTTACGAAATGAACTGGGGAAGCTGTGAGGAAGGGTGACTGCAGCCTTGGAGACCTGCTGATGCCTGAGGAGTTCAGCAGGACCACCCCCTCCTTGACACAAACCTGGGCATTAAGCAGAGGTGACAGCGCTGAGGATAACACTGTGCCAATAGCACAGAAGTTGAACAACATCAATAAGAAAACTAAGAGGTTTTTAGGCAGCGAGAGCAGAGGAGGTTCAATTTACAGTGACTTCCTAAGGAATTAGACCATGATTCTGGACAGGATTTTTATTTTAGACAACACTTCATTTTTTTAAAGGACTAGTGCAACTTAGATGTGGGTTTCATACCTTTTCCTTAATGACAGCAGCACAGGGGGAAGCACGTTCAGGAGTACTGACGTGTCCTGGCAGGGGCTCAGACTGCTGCAACTCGCCTTGCTGACAGGCCAAGCTTGACTCTCATCCCACGACAACCAGGGGTTACAGTCCCAACAACTTCCACCACAAGCAGCTCTGGCTCTCAGCCGCCAAAGTGATAAAAGACTTCTTGTGTGATCATCTCAGGAGGCAAGTTTGATGCCAAACAAAGCTGCAGTCTGGTTGGGTCTTTCTGCCATCAGAGACAAAATCAAGGGGAAAAATGCAGAGCTGGGGAAATAAATGGAAGCTGCTAAGTGTTCAAATAATGTCTTTTCCAAGAAAATGAAAAAGACAAATAAGAAAAACCCCTACAGAAGAGTGGCTTGTCTTGCTTTGCTCGCCAGACCCAGGTAGTGCTCAACTTTGTGTTCCATTAGAGGACACCTCCTTTTCAAATTCTGAACTGTTTCACTGCCTGTCATCGCAACGACTGCAGAATGATGCTGTATGCAACGACCCTACAGGAAACTGCCCACAGTCTTTTGATAGCTGATGCTTTTTGGGAGCAGAAGCAGACATACAGACTGGCACGCTACCAGCACTCTCCTGCTGAACGAATCAGCATCTCCCTCTCTCTGCCAGCCTGTGTTTTGAGCAGTAGCCAAGCTTGGATTTGGATCCTGCAGTTCAACTGCTGTGTGGGGCATCCCAGAACTGATGTGGATTTTATCCTCTGCTACTGTCAATGACAAAAAATGTATCTGAGGATAGAAAACCAATGGGAGATATCCCTTTCCACTCCCTGCTAGCATGATAATCACAACATAGGCTCATTCAAAAGAAGCACACATTCATCTCCGTACCTTTTCAGATTGTTGCTGCCAATAATGGCAAGTAGCTGCTTCGGGAATCTACCTTTTCCCCCACGACCACCTGCAGTCTGTAAGGTCTTCAGAGGAGAACCATTTCTTTGCATATGGCCTTCATCATCCATGTCTGGTTGCAGCATGCAAATGCCACTGCACAAAAAACACTGAAACATTATAAAAGATCTCAGAAACAAACACAGCCAGAAAGTAACTGTGAGGGTAGACACGAGGCTACTGCAAGAGTAAAATCAGAAGAATATTTTCTTTCAAGGCTGAGAGAGATTAAATGCAATTGTGCTGAGGAGGAAGGCTATTTTGCATACGCAGCGAAAGTGGCAAAGTTTCTGAAAGATGCAAAGCATTGGAACACAAAGCAGCTGTAAGCATGCAGCAAGGACAAGGACATGAGATGTGTCTGCGGGGAGCAGAGGGAAAAGGACAAGGCAGACATCTTTGCAGTTACACTGAGACTGCCATAAGCCCAAGGCTCAGGAGAAGCTGGAGATGCCAACGATGCAAGGACTCACCTGAAGTCTGAGTTGTGCCAGCAGCTGGCCACACACACTGACGACCTGTGGGATCCGCCACCGTGTGGAGTCGCTCCCTGCTGAGACTGAGAAGGAAGCCAAGGCTTGTGGCATAACCCAGATGAGTCACTTTGGAGGCTCCAGATCCATCCAGGCCACAGAAGGATGAAAGGACTAAACACCCAAATAGCTGCCTTCACAGCCGAGCAAGAGGAACTGAGGGAAATCACATCTTTCAAGGAGGCCCAGCTGCTTCCTCCTTGCCCTATGGCTGAGGCGGTTACCTACCCTGAGCCATGTGGGCCTAGCCAGTGTCTCAGCTGTAGTAATGCGCAGGGCACACAGATGCAGCCTCAGACATCAGCTGCAGGACTCTGCTAATTGGGAAATTCTGTCTGAGTGTCTGGCCACCATTTGGCAGAGACGGCAGCTCTGACAAAATAAGCAATGTGGTACAGTGCAGCCTCCGGGCATTCATCATGGGGTCTGTCACATGAAAGGGTCTTGAAAAGAGAGAAAGCATGAGAGATGCGTGGAGATCATCTTTGGAAACACCCCAGTCATCCTCTGGGGCAGCTGCTGCTACAGGAGAGGTTGTGAGCCGTCCCTGCTTAGACATTCTTGTCTAAATTCCCTTTTTAAAACAGACAGTTCTCAAGAAATCCAAAGCGAAGATTCTTTGGTCTTGTTTGTCCAAGGCACATTTCTCTCCAGGCAGACAGTCCCATTTTTAAAGAGAGTGAGGAGAAGCCAGAGATGTGATAGAAGGACAAACAAAAATCCACTTAGAAAGGAGAACTGTTTTTTGTGCATTAGTAGCACTTGAAGAACTCTTGTCTTCATACTGACCTGCTTTCCAACTGAAATAAACAGAAGGCTGCTGTAGGGCAGGTTGTACGGAGAAGTATTGTCAAGTGTGTCCAGCACAGGTCTAAGAACTTGAAGAAGTAACTCCGTTGAAGAGCAGCACCCACATCCTGCCTGTTTCTGGGTGCACTACTTTCACACAGCAAGACGACCAACCAGTGATGCAAGTAACTTGTCTGCAAGCAGGCTTCTTGTGTTGCACCATCAGAAAAGTG